GTGATTTGATGAATATATATAAAAAATAATTTAAAATAAGTAGTTGAAGTAAAAATAAAAAAAAATAAAAAAAAATAAAAAAATAAAAAGAGGAAAAAAAAGGAACAAAAAAAAACGATTTTAGAGGGAAAAAATAGCAGTAGGACATGACACGTGTCATTCCTGGTGTCTATTTTAGTATTATGTTATTAATTACTTGATATGACTCGTATGAGTTTTTTTTTTTTTTTTTTTTAATTTTTATTGTTGACCTGAGGGGCAAGCGTCATAAAGAAAGAAACAAGCTAGGAAAACTACAAGAAAATAAACTAAACGAATACAAGCAAGACACAACGAAAGCTAAACAAATAAATAAGCAAGAGCTAAGATAAACTACAAGCTAGCCGCATATGAAGGGGTCACCCTCAAGAATCTTGTATCGGCACCATCCTTGCCCTTGCCATACCCCGCAAGTCCTCCAATAAAACTGTTCAAAGGTCCTCCGGGACTGCCTCAAAAACAATAATCCTCTCCTTGGACGTTACTCCAAAATTAGCTAACCAATCCGCAGCTTGATTAGCCTCTCTACCTATAGCAATGTCAAATTGTAAGTTCCTAATCACGATCAATTTGCAATTGAAGACTTACATTTCCGTCACAAATGAATATATGGAGAGTTGGGAGGGATAGGATCCACCAACAAACGAAGAATAGTTTCCGAGTCAACCATGACTTGTACTTAGTAGCGATGCCCCCCATTCCAGGCTATGGTAAGGCCTCGCATAACAGCTAGTGGTTCGTTCTTCCTTGGTGCTCAAGCAAATGCCACAGTTAGTCACAAAGCTTTCGTATAGCTCCCCTCTATAACCTCGTATTAAGGCCCCCGCACGTGCTGGATCTGGATCACCTCTTAAAGTTTCGTCTGTATTAAGTCTCACCCAATTCTCACGTGGAGCTTGCTAGCGAACCATCACTTTAGTCCGCTTTCTCTATTGTGAAATAGATCCCATGATATTATTCTCATAAGGCTGCAGATATCCCCAACTCTAGCCATTATGAAGCAGCCTTGATAAATTGGAATCCTAACCTCTGTTTCAAAACATCTCTCGTTTCGCCAACGCCAAAGCCACCAACATGTTGTTGCAAAAACCAATGACCAATTATTGTCACCCTTAGCATTCGTTTCACCCAAGTTGTCCATGATCCAAGCTTGAAAGGGAGTGCTATTCCAAGCTCCATCTCCTAGGACACCAATTTTGCGCCACACCATTCGTGCTGCTGGGCATTCTCATACGTAGTATATGGTTTATATCTTCTTCAGCATAGACACATATAAAACATCGAGGATCTATAAGCCAAATGTCTTAAAAAACGATTAGAATTAGTCATGAGTTTATCCTTGTAAGCAAGCCATAAAAAAAGCCTTATCCGTTGTGGGGTTTGGAGTTTCCAAATGTTACCCCAGGGCACATTAGAAGTATTCTCATCCATTAAATTTGTCCTAATAATGCCGAGAGCAGACTTAATAGAAAATCTTATATGTGGAGAGCCATTCCACACATTGTTATCAACCGCATCTTCCTCTTCTATGATCAGTTCATGGGCTTGAATTTCCTTAAGGGCTGAGACAAGGAGATAATATGCGAAATACTCTAACTTCCAACTAGTATGGCCTTCCCACATATCACTTAAAGTACATTTTAATGAAGCTTGAGGAGGGGGAGCAGTAACTAAATCAATGAGAAGAGTTTTAGTAGCCCACCTTTGATACCAAAATGATGTCGCCCTTCCATTTCCTACAGCAATGCCAATCCCTTTCCGTAGGATGTCAATATTTTCTACTATGCCTCTCCAAGCATTGGACGCATCTGGTTTATGCTTGAACATTTCCACGTCGCAACGACCCTTGCATTATTTATGACAAATTACCCGAGCCCAAAGAGAATTTGGTTCAACTAAAACTCACCATCCGAGCTTCGAAAGGAATGCGGCGTTGACTTGCCTCATCGACCGTAGTCCTAGACTACCTTCTTCCTTCGAAGAAGCTACTGTGTTCCAGGCTACTAAGTGCATTCTTCGCTTTTCATCCGTACTTCCCCAAAGAAAGCCTCATGCTTTGCTATCAATTCTATCACAGATACCTCGTGGGATACAGATAGCTTGCATAGCGTAATATGGAATTGAAGAAAGAGAGGACTGAAAAAGCATAGCCTTCCTTGCCATTGATAGAACCTTCGATCTCCAACCTATGAGTTTATCATTCACCCTAACCAATAAAATTTGGTAATTTTCCTTGGTTACCTTACCATTAATTGTAGGTACACCAAGGTATTTACCAAAATCATCTATAGATTCCATACCAAGCTCTGCGCATGTATCATCTCTGACATCATAATTCGTGTTATTAGAGAAATAGACACGACTATTCTCTACACTTACCTTGCTTCCAAATGCCAAGAAAAACATATCCAAACAAAGCTTCACACTACAAGAAATAGGTTGATTTTCGACAGACTTTATCCGTTCAAAATAGGTGTTTCTGATGGAATTCTGTAGGAAACAGATTGTCGTAAACACTTTTGTCAGAAATTACGATGTTTTCGACGGATTTCAGTCAATAACACTTTTTCCAACGGATAAAAAAATCGTCCGACGAACAACCGTCCGACGGAAAATATCTATCGGATGAATACTCTTCCGACAAATATTCTATCGGAAAAGCGTAAAAAAAAATTAAAAAAAAAAACCACACCACAACCATTACTCAGCTCCACCTCCAACCTCTACCCACATCAGCCTGACCCTCCCCTCACTACGCCACCCTACATCAGCCTGCCCCCCACCACCACCCACTACGCTACCCCCACTCCTGTAAACCTAGAACCGCCACCACCACCCTAACCCTAACTCTAACCCGATTCAGACCCACCACCATCGCCACAACCACCAGCCTTACCCTAACCCGATTCAGACCCACAACTCACACCCTAACACTAACTCGATTTTACCACTACCCTAATCATAACTCGATTTAGACCCACCACCACCATCTTAGGCTAACCCGATTTAGACCCACCACCGCCACCCATACCCTAAACCGATTTCTCCACCACCAACCTACCCCTAACCTGATTTCTTCATCAACAACCTACCCAGACCCTAATCCCCACCAAATTAATTCTAGCCGCCACCCACCACCACCATAAAAAATCGGAAAAAAAAAACAAGAAATAAAAAAAAATCTAAATTAAAAAAAAAAAAAAAAGATTCATACCTTAATTCCACCATACAAACCCTTGAAATTGTGTTTATAAGGCCAAATTTGGTAGAGTTTTCATGGTCGAATTTGACCAGAAAAACCTTTGAATTTGATCGTAAAAAGGGAAGGCCAAGAAGATAGGAGAAGAAAAAGAGAGAGAGAAAGATAAAAGAAGAAGAGAAAGGGAGGACGAAGAAGGGAGGAAATTAGAGGAGAAGAGAGAGAAAGAGAGGACAGAGAAGGGTGGAGAAGAGAGGAAATTGGGAGAAAAAGGGAGGACCGAGAAAGAGAGAGAAGGAACGAGAGAAAAAAAGATAATGGAGAAATGAAGGGGGCAGCTGAAATAGTCGGGCTTTGGGTTTATCTTCTTTTTTAAAAAAAAAAACGAAAAAAGAGAATTCCGTAGGATTGATTAAATTCTGTCGGAAATTTCCGATGGAATTTAATTCCATAGGAAATTTCCGATAGAATTAAATTCCGTCAAAATATATGTACTTTCCGTCGAGATATTTCCGAAGGCTTTTATCCGTAGGAAATTTCCGATGAAATATTCGGTCGAAAATTAATTTTCTACGGATTTTCCATTGAAATTGTTTGAAATCCATCGGAAATTTCCAACGGATTTTTATTCCGTAGAAAATTTTGTAATTTGCAACGAATTTACTTTTCTTTCGGAATAATTCCGTCGAAAATCAGCCTATTCCGTAGGTCCTCCCACGCCAGCCCTCGCTGGAATCCAACTACCAAGCCTACATTTTCTATCAATAAGATGTGTAAGTCGCTCCATACATATGACATAAATATATGGAGACAAAGGGTCCTGTTGGCGAATTTTTCACGATGGAGAGAAGTACTCCGGTTGCTCACCATTCCACAAAATACTCAATTTGGTCAAGCTAATACACATCATTATGAGATCAATAACATGTTGAGGCATCCGGAGTTCAAGCAAAGATTCTCAAATAAATGACCATCGTAGTCTATCATAAGCTTTCTCCAAGTCAATCTTGACAACCATAATACCCTTTCGAGCTTGCTTTCTTCTCATTGTCTGAAGCATGTCTTGGACAATAATCATGTTATCTGTAATTCGCCTCTTCGGAACAAAGCTACATTGAGTTGGAGAGATGGGAGTAGGCAACAACGACTTTAGTCTGTTTACAAGCACTTTAGTCATAATTTTGCAAGTGATGTTGCATAGCCTAATGGGCCTAAATTGGTTTGCCTTTTGAGGAGCTTCTACCTTCGGTATCAAGACTAGGAAGGCTTCAGTAAAGTCTTTAGGAAAGGCACAACCCTCCAAAATATCAAGCGTCGCTCTAATAACACTCGGATACACCAAACTCCAAAATTTTTGGTAGAATAGTGGCTGAAACCCGTCTGGCCTAAGCGCCTTGTACGGGTCCGTTTGCATATATGCAGCCTGGATCTCACAACTCGCAAAAGGTCTAGTCAACGTTTCCCAATCATCCTTTTTGATATGAGGAAAATAATCCAACAATGCGCTAGAAGAATTATGCACACTTGAAATATTTCAAGTATCCTCAGCGAACATCCCCTGTAATAATCAATCACTAATTTTTTTCACCTTACTCGGATCCATTTCCCACATACCATCCAAATTATAGAGAGTTTTGATACGACTTCTCCGCCTTTTGATAATTTTTGATAAGTGAGAATAGCGGGTATTACGGTCTCCATCACAAATGGCTGCCATCGTTGATTTTTGAAACCATGAAAGCTCTTCCTGCTGCAGCACTTCATTCAGCTGCGCTTTTTTAAATTTTCTTCTAGCTTTAAAATATGCATAGGATCCTCATTAGATAAAGCCTTCTGAATACCTTCAATGTGCACCCATAGCTCTGATTTTTTCCGAATTATGTTATGGAATTTTTCTTTATTCCAGACAGCGAGCTCCTTGGCAAAAGTCTTCAAATAGGGGATTAAAGGCTCACTGTTCTTCTAGCTTGAAGACACAAAATTCATAAGTAAATCGTGTTAATCCACGCCGCTCAAAATCTAAAGGGTTTAATTCCATAGGAATTGGTGTAAACACATTAGTATTAATCAACACCGGGAAATGACCGGAGGTGATCTTTGGAAGATTACGCACCGCGCCTTTTTCAAATCGTAATCTCCAATATTCTCCAAATATCTCCACAATTCTTTTCTAAAAGTTGAATTGGGGCTTGCATAAATGGCAGAAAACATCCAGGGTTCCTCCTCCTTTTTCTTGATTTCCACAGTAATATATCGAGTGTGATTGTCTAGAATCGTGACTTGAACAATTTTCTCTCTCCGAAGTAGCCAAATTCCACCACGAAATCCTTGAGCATCTACTCTCAATTGGCCTGGAAAACCAATTCTGTCACATAATTTTTGCGCTTGATCTCCACTTATATGAGTTTCAACCAAAAGCTAAAATCATTGGGTCATATATCTAATTAGCTCGCAAATTGTGACTAATTTATTTCCTACCCTTTGAACATTCCAAACCATGATTTTTTAATGACATATTAAACATTGAGAAGTTTGGGTACCGGTCATAAATATTCAAAGGAATATTAGGTACAAAATTCATGAACGCTTCTCTCAACGCTCTCATCGATCCCGCTATGCCTATTGGGAGTCCTATTGTCACCAACATTTCTGGAAGATTGTGTTGCGGTGGCAGACACGTGCTCACTTGGAGTTCGACTCTGTTCAATACGGGGTGAATTTTGGCCACTGTTGGACCATCAATCGGGTAGTCCATTAATGCTTCATATGAAGGGGGAACTCGAGTTACCAGTGAGTTCGAAACTTGACGAGGATTCATATTCAGTAGCAATGGTATTTTTAGAAATCTTTCATAGAGCTTAAGGGGTACGAGAAACAATCGAATACTCTACTCCTTTTTCGCTTAGATTATCTGAGTGTGGAAAACCAAAAGATTGCTCCAAATCTTTTGACTTAGGCTTCGTGATTTCCGGCTCAATATTTTCCTTATTAAATTTGGTAACCATAATTTGCGCGTGACTCAGAGAGGCAGAGATTCTGGAATTAGCTTCCACTTTATCTTTTCCTTCCTTATTTCCATCAAAATTCTTCTTCAAAAGGTCCGAGGCCCTAGTAATATTCTATTCCAAAGAGATACCCAAATTAAATGGTGATTTACCTCCTAATTCAGCCTCTATCTCATTACTTTCGTTATTTCCTAAATAAATTTCCTTCTGTCCATCAGCACTATCCTCGCCTAAATTTATGGCACCCTTGACAATATTGTCACTTTCATTGACTAAACTTTCCTTAATAATAGTCGTATGATTTAGATCCAATATTTCATCCTCTGTTTCCATATCTTGATCCAAGTTTAAAATTTCGAACCTTGACCCATGGTTAGCACCCTCTTTGTTCACCTCGTTACCAACACAACTACTCTCACCTGTTTTTTGGTTAACTTCCTTTCCATTCTTTTTCCTCGTAGTGACTGGGCCTTCCCCTTTAGACTTTGGTTCATTTGAGTCTTTATTTGGAGCATCTCCTTTGTTTCCAGAAACATATTTCCTTGTGGTTCATTGGACAAGCATCCATGATCCAAACTGATCATTTTCCTTCGGCCTTGACTTAGGTAGTTGCGGCTGCACTAGAGCATCTACTCTTCGTAGAGTTCTTCCTCCATCTTCATCTAGAACAATATCCAGAAAGAAATCACTCTCCTTAATTATGACCAAGATGACCACATTTAAAACATATTTGCTTCAAAGCTTCATATTGGATGCGCTAAGCAGTGGCGAAGCCACGTTAGGACAAGGGGGATAGCTGTCCCCCCATTTAAAAAAAAAAAATCAGCTTTATTTAAAAAAATAAAAAAAAAGAATGTTGAAACAAAGCAAACACGTGACTTGTGAGAAAACAAAACAAAACACAAAACACCAAACCCACAAAGTTTCTAGGCTTGTCCCCCACTAAAGCCAAGAGTTCTCGATTTTCTATTCCGACCTCTGGCAGTCGAGACCAGACCTCCGGCGAGGCGGCAACAAGACCTCCGACGGGCAATGACCAGACCTTTGGTAGTTCGGTTGTTCCTGCTTCCTTCACTTTCCCAAAATCCCCAATTCAATTTTAAAGTAAGTTCTAACCATAAACCCCTAATTTAATTAAAATCAGAATTATTTTTTTTTTAATTGTTTATGTTATTTTCTATTGAGTTGTCTAATTGTCTTGTTCCATTAATCTATTGTTGATTTGTTCAATGTCAAGTACTTGAGTAGTTGAGTTATTATGTGAAATTTTTTGAAATTTTAAGTTAATTGCGTATTTGTGTTTCTCTGTTTTGTGTCTAATTTTTGTTGTTTAATTGGGTTAGAAATTTGGAGTGTTAAAAATTTGAATACTTGGTTGAATAATTGTGTTTTAATAGTTATGGTAATTGATAAATTGAATAGGTGATTAATTAGTTTATTTTGTCCAATTTATTAGGACATGTCACAACTCAATCTTCGACAATTTATGTCTAAAAGAATAAAATCCCTAGATATACCCCCTTCATTTAGTTCTCCCCAAACTCAGGAAGATGATATGGAAATTGGTGGTTCAAATGCTAGTAATGTAGTACCAGAGGCGGAGGCGGAGGCAAAGGATGAAGATTTGGTATATGATGTGGACTTCTTCATCATGATCCCGGAAAAAGAATGAATATCATGGATTATCCCCCTAATCAAAGAAATGAGGTAAGAAGAGGTTACATTCTCAAACAACCTTGTCAACCAAAAACCCATGATTTTCCTAAAAGACAAGTGTTTGGATTGCGTCGTTTTAGTGTCAATTGGTTATTAAAGCTTTGTCTCTTAAAGATGCAATTTTGTCTTTACTTGTGGAACACTCATTAAGTCCATCTATGACAAGAGGACAAGGGTATGATGGGGCTAGCAACATGAAGGGTGAAGTAAATAGTCTTAAGACTTTGATTATGAATGATACTCCAAGAGCCTACTACAATCATTGTTTTGCTCACCAACTTCAACTAACATTAGTAGCTGTTGCTAAAAAAATGATTGTTGTGGTTGGCCTTTTGAGGTACTTTCAAACTTGTTGAATGTGATTGGAGTGTCAAGTAAGAGAAGAGAAATGATTCATGAAACTCAAGCTCAAGAGGTTGCTCAAGCATTGGATTTGGAGGAAATTGCTCAAGAGGCCCAGGGACACTCGTTGGGGATCTCATTACAAGTCCCTTATAAATATCATCCGCTTGTTTCCTACAATTATTAAGGTGCTTGTGCGCATTGGGAAGCATGGTGCATCAGAAGATAAGTTCAAAGCTCAAATTGTTTTAGGACAATTAGAGTAATTTGATTTTATTTTTGTGGCGCACTGGATGATGTTGTCCATTTTTGGGTATACTAATGATTTGTGTGTTGCTTTGCAAAGAAAGGAGCAAGATATTGTACATGCCATGGAACTTGTTAAATTAACAAAAAATGTGTTACAAAAAATGAGGGAGTAAGGGTGGGAGACTCTCTTAAACAAGGCTATTTTATTCTGCACTAAACATGGCATTGATGTTTCTAATATGGATGCTCCTTATGTTCCTCAAGGAAGATCAAGGCGTTTTGTTGAAGAAGCAACAAATCTACATTATTATCAAGTTGGAATTTTTTTAGGAGTGATTGATTTGCATCTTCAAGAGCTTGATAATCGATTTAACGAGAGAAGAATGGAGTTACTTACATGCAGGGCTTGCCTAAGTCCTAAAGATAACTTCTCATCTTTTGACAAAGAAAAGGTACCCAAACTTGCTTCTTTTTATCCCGAAGAATTTTCAACTTTTGATTTGATGACTCTTGAAAATCAACTTGATGTATTCATGGAAAATATGCTAAATGATGAAAGATTTCATAATTTGCATGATCTTACCTCTCTTTCCATGATGCTTGTTAAAACTAAGAGGCATAAGAGTTATCCTCTTATAAATTGGCTTATCAAGTTGATGTTGCTTCTTCCCGTTGCTACGACAAGTGTTGAAAGAGTGTTTTCCGCAATGACTTATGTTAAGAGTAAGTTGCGAAATAGAATGGGTGATCAACTTATGAATGATTGTTTGGTAGCTTTTATTGAGAAGGAAGTGTTCCTACAAGTTACTGATGAAGACATCATTGATCACTTTCATGAAGACTCGAAGAATGCAATTGTAACTTTAATTTAAAGTTTATGTAATCTTTTTTTTTTTCATTTTTTTTGGATTGTATGACTATGTTGTTTGGATTTTTGAGTTGTAAAACTTTGACTATTAAATTATCTATGAGCTTAAGTAATTATTTTTTTTTCCAACAATTTTGTTAAATCATGCGTTGTCCATTTGTCCCCCCATGTTCAAATTTCTGGCTCCGCCATTGGCGCCAAACTTTGCCATTTAGCTTAAATTTTGAAAGCAATGATTTTGTGAAATCAACTTCAATACTGAATCTAACGAATTGACACCTACTCATAGATTCAATATTTTTATCAATACTAATAACTCTACCAAATTTGGACCCAATCTTATGCAGGAATTGCTTGACAAAGTATTCAACCGATAGATGAGGAATGTGAACCCATGCCGTTAAAAATTTGATAGGGGCATCATCGGCTACAAAATTAGGTATCCATTTCCTGATTGTGAGGTAGCTATCACCAATAATCCAAGGCCCTTGAGTCAGCACATGATGGTGGTCTTCCATATTCGTGAATCGAACAATATAGTAGTCAAATCCCACATCAATTAGGGATATATCCCCTTTCAAGCTCCATTTGATCCTTAAACGCTTAATAAAAACCTTATAGTTGAGTTTCTTATCAAATAGTTTGATGATAAGGGTATTTTGCCAAGGCCTCCTTAATCTCTTTTTCTCCTCTTTGGTAAGGAGAAAATTAGGGCAAACTTCATCATCTGAGTCACAATCCAATAGAATATCATCATATTAGAATATCATTCTTCCTCTACCTGATCCTTATTGTGGCTAGCATTAGCCATTCTTCCTCCATTTCAAACCATATGGCTATATGTGACATGATGCACTTGCGGACGAGGTTGCACAATTGGTTGAGATTCAACCATCATCTCCTCTAGCTCAGAGATCATTTCAACATCCATACTATACTCCTTCGACTTCCCTTCTGGGGAATTCTCTGGGGTTCTCTTGATTTTTTTATTTGAACGACGCATTAGATTAGTATCTTCCGTATAGAGTTCTTTCGCTCTCCATTAGCTTTTGCCTTGCCTTAGACTATATGACTTGTATGATAAATTTGGATTACTTTAATGGAAAAAATAAGATTATTTTTTATGAATAAAATAAAGTTACTCATACAAATGAATAAAAATTGTTTTTATAAAACAATGTAGCCACACTCAAGACTTACCGTTTTTATGTAAGCATTAAGGATGACGACATTTAATAGATATATGTTTATCTTATTCATTTCACTTAAGTCGAAAATAGAACTAAGTAGATTAGGAGATGATAGTATTAGAGATATTAAGAGATTTCATTTATCTCCTCTCCTCGTATGTTGATTATTATATGATATTGACGAAATCATATATTTTTGTTGTTTAAGAATTAAGAAGGTTTTGACCTGGTGATAAAGATTGAGAGCTTATATATGACAATATATGTCACAAATTCAAATTATCTCTCCCTAATTTTTAACTTTTAATGTCCTCGTGGGGCATTTGTATACACAAAAATTGTTATTATTGACATATATACCATAATGATTTCCTATATATTTTACTAACTATATTATGCTTTAATACTCCTTTTTAATACTATAACCAGTTAGTGCCCAAGCGATGTTCGGATTTCAAAATTAATACTTAGTTATATAAATTGTAAGTTAGTCAATATAAATTGGTTATCAATTGTTAAAAAATTACTCATGATATAAAATTTTAATTGTATGGTGTAAATTGATATGTCATAAACGCCTTTGGAAAATATAAAATAGATTAATTATTTCTTGAATAAAATAAATATGACTTACAAAAATGTGGGTTTAGGAGGACCAATTACCTTAAAAAAAATCCACTTTACCAATGGTATGTATATGATTAAGAAAAACTTTTGCGTGAGACTAGACTTACTGTGAGTTCAATATATTTGACAATAATATCCTAATATCTGTAAATTATATTCTAATATATGACATTAATATTCTAATATCTGACAACTACAAATCTTCCAGTATTCTATGCCCAACTAAAAGATAGACTATGTGGCAAAGTAGATTTAAGAGGTGGTGCTTCACTCTATCCATCATTTCTAAGAATTGTTTAAAATTACTACCCCTATTATGAGCATGTTAATGTCATTCTTATGTAAGTTTAATTAAGAATGTTATTTAACCTAAATGATATCATATAACTTGGGTTCATAGAACATCACCAATTAAAACTGACATATAGGAAAGCACCAAACTTTATTGTGATTGGGTGCATAGAACAGCAATATCACCATTCTTAAATTGATTTTGTCCAATGACATACTACTATAGATATTTTTAGATCCCCACATGTCCAGCACCTTCAAAAATAACCTTCATAATGATATCGCTCTCAATACCACACCCAAGGTATATTATACTTCCTATAATAACTTAATAAATACGCATATATCTTAAAGAAAAAGGAGTACATACTGCGTACTATTTATTGGTTTTTTATTTTTATTTTTTTATTTTTTTATTTATTATTTTTTTTTTTAAAGTGAAATATGTCAAGCTTATATATATTCTGAGATATAAACAAGCAAAGGGATCTTTCAAAAAAAGAAAAAAAAAACAAGCAAAGGGACATACATGTACCCATCTAGGACTATTTCAACGCAATTTAATCATGCAATCAACGGTGCCTTAGCTTGCAATGTACAACCGTTTTTTTTTTTTGTTTTTTTTGTATTTTTTTATTTTTTTTTTTATTTTTTACTTATATAACTAAATTCTTGTTCATCATCACCACCATAAACATGTCCAATAATTCAGCCTTGATACATAATAAATTGTTTTACATGCCTTACAACAAATGTTGTGTTTTACTTATTTAATTTAACCATGCATGAGTCAAATTCTTTATCGATTCCATTGTTTTTAGCTCTTTTAATTCGAATGAGCAAATGTTACATAAGACATTTTGCTCATATCAACCATAGCAAATTTATTTTAGTTCGAATAATCAAATTTGACCTTGTTAAGTACAATAGGTTGTATGACGCATGAGCTGCTATATTGATAAGATCAACGTGGAAAAAGAAGCCAGCTTTATCCAGCGAAATCCAATTACAGCTCAATTAAAGTGCACATTTAGTTGCCAATTATAGACGATAAATCATCATCAATTTCATGCATACCATGTTACTCTATAGTTTATAGTCGGCTGATGCAATAAATACGACTGAATGGATCCAACTATTAGATATATGGAGGATAGGAGATTACTTATTACAAACAACTTTACACACAAGCTTTGAAATCAAGAAATCAAGACCCTACCCAAAAAAAATGTAGTTGTAGAATACTTTCTTTGCTTCGAAAGTCCACAGTTATACCTTTTTTTGTCGAGTTTTTAATTTTGTAAGTTATTATGACAAATAATAATTGTATGATGGGCTATATATGCAGAATGTGGACTTTGTTGAATTTTGTGAAATTGAGGACAACAATATATACTTCGTTTCAATTTTATTAAATGTGTTGATCATTCTCTTAAAATTTGTCATATTTTTCTGTCATTTGAGTTGTTCTTTTAAATTTATCTTATATTATAATGATATACTCAAAATTTATCAACTGTAACGTTTCAAAATTGAAACTATTCATATTATTTGACCGTCTTTTATCAATTTGATCTGATTGTCTTGATACACTTTTTAAACATCAAATTTTATACGAAGTACATAATTTTTACGAATAAAGAGAATTAAAGAAATTAATAATATATAATGTGCATCAATAAGCATGAAACTTTAGAAATTGCATTTAAAAAGTAATGGAGGAAGTATAAGGGTTTAAGTGTTCAACACTATACTCTCGATTTCACCAAATTCGATTTCACCAATTTTCTCACTCTTTTATTACCTCACCCCCGATCAAAGGCTTTTATACCTTTTAATAACACTACTATATAATTACAAATATTAATAGTCAAAGTTGTACATTAACATATGTGTTGATCAAGGTGTTGTGATTATTATGAAATAGAAAGAGTAAATTCTATTATAACAGAGAAAACAAAAAGAGAACAGACGTAGAACCAGTCAAAGCTAGAATAATCTTTATGGGAGGCCTAAGTTATAACAAAGTCATTCTACCTATGAATAGTGGCCAACAATTTCATTTAAGGTGCTAGGGTAGTAGCTTTTTGACTCGTAATTGAGTCTTTGTGTACATATAAGACTATAAGAGAGGGTGGAGGCTACTAATTGATGGGTTGACTACTTGTGTACTAACTTGCTTGTGATAATCAACTGAGGTCATGCGGACCAAAACAAACTTTTAAGCTACTTTTCCTTTCTAATATCATTAATCAATCTACTTAAGGTACTCTCTCACAATTTTAGATTCTATAACCTTTTTCCATTTTCAAACACCTTTTCTTTTATCTCGTCAACATTATTGAGGTTCAGAGACACATTAAATATCTAACCACGCACTAAGCCTATATAATTAGCATTTAACCTATATGTATGTACCTTTTCCTCAAAAAAAAAAAAAAAAAAAAAAAAAGAAAAAAAAAAAGAGTTGTTCAACCCTAATTTATATTAAGATGAATATTGTTTGAGTAGTCTGTCCAAATTGATGCATATGGATCATTACAAAACAAGAAAAAAAAAAGACAACATAAACTTGTAAATTACTGTTCTATATATCTTCAAAAATATATAGAACATAAACTTGTAAATTATTGTTCTATATATCTTCAAAAATACAATATAAACTTGTAAATTACTGTTCTATGTAAAAATGACACATAATGCATGATCAAACACAAAATCACCTTCAAGTGTAATAAGTAATTTTAGTAGCTTGTGAAGGATTTTATTAGATCAAACACTTTCTAATCAACAAATCCAATACTTTTGGGAGGGGGAGGAATTCGTACGGGGAGAAGACTATGTATTTTTATGATGATGTTTTGGAAATCGAATGGTACGCCTAATATAACAAACCTATATTCTCAATCAACCCTATTCAATGTCTGAAAGAGAAAATGGAATCTAAGGTAAATGCCATATGAAATTAATTTGTCGTTCAATGCCAATTTTACATGTTTATCTTCATTGGATAATTAGGGTGATGCTTCATATGAATTTATTGTGTCTACGAGTTTGACTCAAATTACAAGCGGATACAAGGTTTATAAAATCTTATACAGCTGTTTTATAAGGCTAATACTCGTAAACAAATTTATGTATGGAATATCTATATATTTATTTCATAATGACAAATAATGTTTCATTCGATATATATAAATTTACGAGTATAATACAAGTATAACGACAAATTTACGAGTATAATAAAAGTGGTACGTAGTTTATGTTTCATTTAGTTTACAAGATATAGTAAAAAAAAAAAAAAGGTTTTATTTATTTTACATAAATACTACTGTATTAACTAGGTAGATCATTCAAATTTGACAAAATACGAGTGACTACATCCTACACATTGTACAAGATAATCATTTTTGTATTTGTTTATCCATGTCTAACTTATCATCCATTTCCAATCCAATAAGTTTTATTTTTCCGATCCCTTTGATCATTATATTTTTGTCACTTAACTAATAATCATTCCTCAATATAGGTTTTTGTTTAATTTTTATTTTTTTTTAAATTAAAGCAAAGGAAAATAGGGATGTCTTAGTAATGTGACTAATGTCTGGCCACGTTTAGTATTTTAACATCCCATACAATTTCCATGTATAATTGAGTAAAAATATAGTGGCTTTTGTATTTTAAATAATTTCATTATTTTATTAATTATTCAAAAAAAATAGCTACTGTTAATTATATTTGACTAAAGCGTAATATTAGAGTTTTACCAAAGAAGAAATAGTCAAAGGAGCAGGCAATTTTGGTGACAAAACTGGCTATACGGTGTAATGGAGAGGACCATTGTGAGGAGCAGACAATATTGGTTGACTTTGTCTCTAACTTTTAAGGGTTGAAG